AATAAATTACACAGCAATGCAGAATAATATGAAGCTACATACTCTGTGTTGCTCATTAGGGCTGCCTATGGGTATCATTAGGGCTGCCTATTGGTATCATTAGGGCTGCCTATGAGTATCACCAGGGATGTCTATGGGTATCACCAGGGATGCTTATGGGTATCACCAGGGCTGCGTGTTGTCCCTCCGGGGACTTCGTGTGGTCCCACCAGGGCTGTGTGGTCTCATGAGGGCTGTGTGTGGGTTCCACCACGGCTGTGTGGGCAGGTGCAGGTCTCACCAGGGCTGTGCCGTGTCTCCCAATGGCTGTGCAGGTGGGTGCTAGTCTCACCAGGGCTGTGCAGTGTCTCCCATAGCTGTGCGGGTGGTGGAAAGGAGTAGGAGCAGGAGATGTTCAGCCAGACTGGTGTTGTAGACAGCCATCGCAAGGTCCCCACGCAGGCTGCCGTGAGGTCTTCTGCAAGCGTGGGACCTTACAGCAGCCAAAGTCACTTAAAAATTTATTGGGGCATTTTCATGAGTACTCATGAAAATGCCCAATATCGGCACTGATACTGGTATCGGGTAACAGTGCATCCCTAAAGAAAATGCAATTATAATCTATTTTTAGAAGTTGCTGATAGGCAGACTTTTATGCTATCCTCGCAATCAAAGAATGCTGGAAGGGTATATCAAGGCAAAAAATATTCAGTAAATCTCTCGAATACATGAATATTTTCCAGTGTTTTGTCCTTTGAAATGATACTGCAAGTCCAAAAAATACTTGTTCATTTAGAAACCTAGTCTACTTCTAACTTCTTGTTTGGATTTATGACACACTGCCTTTGCTGCACTGAAATATCAACCAGAGTTGTCCACCCTGCCTAGTGGAATACAGGGCTGAATCTACCCCCATTCTTCTCTGTCCCACTCCACATGCATACATTGATTTCTTTGCAAGAAAAAAACTCCTACTATCCCAAGAGTCTGCTCACACACAGTGAGGTTGATTTACTAAATGAAAATAGGCTTTTCACGTTGCAGTGGAACTTTCCCTTAGCTTTGTAAATGTTGTGGAAATTCACTTTGCAAACAATACCCAATTGTGTGCAAGGAATTATTGTCCCCTGTTTAATCTGCGCAATCAATAGGCAGCCTAACTGTTTAAAAAAAATCTGGATATATTCCGAAATGCACAGAATAATATTGAATATTGAGTCATAGGTATATTATGCACCAGTGATTGTTGATCCAGGGAATATCCGATTGCCTTATGGCAGTGATGTCCACCATAGCCTTATGGGATCAGAAAGGATTTTTTTGTCCCCTGTTGGAGCAAATTGAAACATTCTTTATAGGGTTTTTTTTTTCTTTCTTCCTCTGGATTGGAGTGGGTAACTGTGGGCATGGCATCCTGTTTTATATTTTTCGTTGTTCTTTTTTTTTTTTTTCTCTCTTATCTCTATAGGTTAAACCCGATGGACTTTTTTTTAACGTGACTAACTATGTAGATAAGACAGAGAGGTTATTCCAACTCCATTCTGCTTCTCTAAGCACTTTACAGAGGATGTTTTCAGGTCTTGACAATGATCTTCTCAGCCTAATGTCTGCTAATAATGCTAGAGACTGAGAGAACATGGAAGAAGAATGGAGGGTCTATGTAAGGACTGTACCAACTAGCTCAAACAGGTAGTAGAGCAGGAACATACCATGAGAAAATACAAAAATAACCAATGTAGTTCTGAACTGTCACTAGACATCATAACAGTAAGTTTAGTGCAATACAGAAAATAACATAGTAGGTGGAACGCACCAAGGCAAAGTGCAAATTCACTTGCAGAATAAACAGCCTATTTGCCTATAGTAAATCAACCAGTGTGTAAAGAAATGGCCCTTGAGAGATGTATGGCTACTTCTTTAGGAACTGATCTGTGTAGCTAGCCGTGCACAGGTTTTAAATATCTTCTGTTGATGCCACAGGAGTAATAAAAAACACAGTTTTTGTTGCTACAGAAGTCCAGAAACAAAGAATGTAGTCTGGATAAACCTGAAGGACCCATCTTTGAGTCAGAGAGGCCCCAACATGTCAAACCTCAAGTAACTCGATGTCGGTCCACAAGAAACGAAAGACAATAGGTCCATATCATCTTTGATGTCTTCACACCCTAAAACAGGCTTTGAAAATCTTAGGTCACTTCTCCAAGGGAAGCAAAGCTTGCAATGCTCACTATGAGTTGAAGTAGAATAGTTTTTTTAAGAAACCCTTTGACGAATATGGCAGACTCTGCTTCCAGTTTGCGAAGAAAAGGATGCACTTGCGTGATTACAGATGTCGATGACTATGATGAGCTTTCTAAGTCTTTTTTCGTGTTTGCAAAGTTATTGGTTTGATAGTTGAGGTGACAGCTATATCATCTTTGGCCTTGAAGGATGAACCTGCAGCTGAGTTCTAGGTTAGGCCTAGGGCCGTCTTTAATATTGATTGGACCCCGGGCAAACATTTTCTTGGACCCCCCCACCACGCCCCCATGCAATATTGCCCGCTATATGCTGGCAGAGCAGAGCCATGCTGCAGCTGGGATGGATCCAAAAAATATTGTCCAACCTTTGCAGCCTGCAAAACCCCCCGCAGATCCTGCAAAGCCCCCCTGAGATCCGGCAGACTCTGTTTTTAAGGAGAGTATTTCTTACAAGACTGTGTTGCATTGTTGAGTATGGATTTCTCTACTCGGTGTGCCGTGGCAACCATAGTCACAACTATGCTTTATATTTGTGCACCGATGGTCCACCGGGCTCTCCTGTTACTGCCCTTGCTCTTGTAGTTTGTATGCCTGTGATCCTAGTCAGACCTGGGTTTGGCCAGTCTAATGAAGTCCTCAGTAGATACAGGTGAAACTTGAATAATTAGAATATTGTGCAAAGTTAATTTATTTCACTAATGCAACTTAAAAGGTGAAACTAATATATGAGATAGACTCAATACATGCAAAGCAAGATAATTCAAGCCGATTTGTCATAATTGTGATGATTATGGCTTACAGCTCATGAAAACCCCAAGAACCCCAAATCCACAACCTCAAAAAAGTAGATTATTACATGCAATCAATAAAACAAGGATTGTACATCGAACAATATCGGACCTCTGAAAAGTACAAGCATGCATATGTACTCAGTACTTGGTTTGGGCCCCTTTTGCAGCACTTACTGCAATTACTTTTGCACGATATTCTAATTATTCGAGTTTCACCTGTATGTGGTTCAGTGTTGAGTCCTCCATCTTGATCCCAGTGTGCTCTGTGACGTGAAGGTCCTCTCTCCATACTGTGTAAACTGCACAGTTAGCACTAATAAAAATGCACATGCACATACCTGCGCAATTTCAATACAAGTCTTAGTGTTTTCGTTTGGGCAAGAACATGGGTCTTGTTCACACTAGTGCATCTTACCATATCGTTTAACTGCAACAGACTCTCTTTAATTATTGTGTAAGCAAATGCCCTGCTGGCCATAGACTAGCATTGGGTATTCGATTGAGTCCATCTGAAAAACTGACAGGCGAACCCAATCAGATCATCTGGGTGAAAGGGGCTTAAATGGAAATACAGCAGCATTTTTTATACAATGTTCACAGAGAATTACTGTACCTAACTGCCAATGTAAGCCCTCATGGGCAGGGCCCTCCTTACCATCTTGTCTTGAATTGTATTGTGATTGTAATGTCTTCCTTATATTGTAAAGCAATGCACAAATTGTTGGCGCTATATAAATCCTGTATAATAATAATATTGCAATAGGTTGCTTAGTTCAGGTCATACAGGAAAGCCATTTTCAAAAATGTTGCCAGATTAGTATTTTGGTAAGAGGACAGGCAACTCTAAAAAGTGCAACACAGAATTACCTTGCACCGTTTTGCCTGAGTACCTATGTCTGCTAACATGCTGTATATTTACCATGAAAGATAGTGCAAATCTTTATGAGAATTACATAACCTGTCACATAGTTTGTATGGGGGCATGGGCTTAATCAGGTGAATTGGTGCAAGGAGAAACTCTACTGCACTTTGAGATCTGCGGGCACATAAATAGTTTATGCACTTCTATTTAATTCCCACAGTAAGTGGCCTTTGCTCACAACATGGTTTGACATGCTGAAAGCAATATTTTCTTCTGCTGAATGCCTTTTTTAATTTATAAAGTACAAATCTCAACATACGTTTAATGCTTGCTTATAGTCAACACTTATTAATTAACAAAGCTCAACAAAAAACTGTCTGCACTAAATTACACCAGTTACAAATCTGAAGTCACTCGGGTTGATTCACATAAATCAAAATGTTGATAAACCAAACTTTATTTTGTGATTTCAACAGATGCAAAACAGTTAGTAATGTGACAGACCCAAGGGTCTTTCTTTAGAAAGGTGCTGGGTGTTTTTTGCCTTGATACAAAAAATGCATTAGGGAAAAACACCCAGCCTTCTATTACTTTAATTGTGAACATTGTTTTTTTAACTATATCCAGCATTTCCTCATTGGTGTATTATAAAACAATAACTTAGAGCGATTGACCCTTTGGGTCTGACATGTTACGAATCGTTTTACATCTGTTGAAGTCATTAAAGTAAGATAAAATACATATTTATGTGCCATTTATTTCTGTCATTGATATAGCATCAGTATATCCGTTAGATCTGTGCAGAGCTTTACAACCTTTCACATTAGTTTTAGTCCACAAAAGAAGCAACCAGGCCAATGTTTCACAGTCTTGCTCACACTTGAGATAGTTTGAGATCGAGCTAATTACCCTGCCATTATGTTTTTTGATTGTGCGAAGGAACGGAGCTCCTAGGGGAAATCCACATAAGGAGAACTACAAATTCCAGGTACAGAGGCTCTCAGGTGGGATTTGAACTCCTCTTCAGCCTTAATGGTACTTTATAGGAAGTGGACAAGTGATGTTATAGGAATCCTTTGCAGCAGAATAATTACAGAGCTTAAATGTGGTGTTTTTGTTAAAATATAGGGAGGGATGTTTGTTTGGAATCGCTTATTTCAACCATTACGGCAACGACACACGGTGAATCAAGCAGAACCACAGGCACCTCCTCCTCCAGCTCCTGAGGAACAGGTAAGACACACCTTTTAAATTGTGGGATTGCATAGAAGTGTCAGTTTATGAGAAAACCTAATGCAGATTGTTTTGTTAAAGGAGAACTATGAGGTGAGTGCTTTTCACTCCCCTCATAGTTCTAGCCGACCTGTGACAGTCTCATTGTCACAGGGCGGCTAGAACTATGAGGTGAGTGCTTTTCACTCCCCTCATAGTTCTAGCCGACCTGTGACAGTCTCATTGTCACAGGGCGGCTAGAACTATGAGGTGAGTGCTTTTCACTCCCCTCATAGTTCTAGCCGACCTGTGACAGTCTCATTGTCACAGGGCGGCTAGAACTATGAGGTGAGTGCTTTTCACTCCCCTCATAGTTCTAGCCGACCTGTGACAGTCTCATTGTCACAGGGCGGCTAGAACTATGAGGGGAGTGAAAAGCACTCACCTCATAGTTCTCCTTTAAATATATCTTTTGCTACAATTTTTGTTTCCGTTATTCTCGTACTCTGATTTATAGCAACACTAATTGGAAACAAATATAAGATTTTGTGGCAGAAGTTTGTCCCTGTGAATTGATATAATCATTTCTTAGCTGCCCTCTTTATAGTGAGGCATTCTAGGAACAAGTAACTGGTTCATGTCCAGGCAAATAGATTCAGTTTTAAATGGAAAAGGTTATCTTGACTTTTCTTATAAAATGTTGTTTGTAGCGACAGTGTGACACCAACAGCAGCGCTAGAACGCACAGCTCCTGTTGTGCATTGTCCGACACAGTGCTGAGGCGCCAATCCCAACACATCTTACTGTTTACCAAAAGTGACATTTCATTAAGTTCTGTGTAAGCGAGGTGGTTGTACCACATTGCATCCCATTGCACTGAAAAAAAGTACTGCACACAGTACTTTTTTTCAACACACACCACAAAAACACGCTGATGTGAAATGAGCACATTCAAAACAAGGAAAATTACCTTGTCTTGCATTGGGGCTGCATCTGGCGTTAATCCAGCCACAATTAATAACCTATTATCTGTAAACATCAGAAGTCTGGCACACAGCTCAAAATGTATTTCACATTTTGGGGCTATGTGCCAGACTTTTGATGTTGAAGACTTATGACAGAGCCTCGCTGTGCATTAGCAGTTCCCTCATATGCTATTTGGAGCAGAGGAAGATCAGGTATGCTGTTTATTTTTGCAGTATTGTTGGGAGGTGATTAACATCTGATAATTTCTAGAGACGTTTCTATTGTGCACAAAGTATTGCAAAGTTAAAGTGACACTAAACTCAGGCGTTAAATCTTAAAAATGCAGACAAGTATCCTAACTATAATAAAAAATGTATCTTATTTGTGTATCACTCAGCTGTAGATCCTCAAATCAACTCTGAATTTGTGCTGACACTGTCCTTCCTTCTGTAGGATGGCTACTTGTGTTCCCCATGGTCCCTGTGTGTATTGTAAAGTAGCCACCTCTCCAAGCTCACTCCCCTGATGGATTACAATCTCAATACAAAGTAGTAACTAAATATGAGATTGTAGTCCATCACGGGAGTGAGCTTGGCGCGGTGGCTACTTTACAATACACACAAGGACCATGGGGAAGAAAAGTAGCCACCCTCCAGAAGGAAGGACAGTGTCAGCACAAATTCAGAGTTGATTTGAGGATCTCCAGCCGAGTGATAGACAATATAAGATACATGTTTGTTAATAGTTAAGGTACTTGAATGCATTTTTAAGATTTAACTCCTGAGTTTAGTGTCACTTTAATGTTAAGTAATATACATTCATCTAATATACATTAGGAATCAGTATGCACATGTTGACTAAAAAGAAAAAAGGAGAAATTAGTCATATTTTGTTTAAGAAAAATGCTGCATAATATCTGACCCACAAGTTGCTTGGTTGTTGATTATAAACTACTTGACAAATTATTATTACTTTAGATGGAAACAGGTGATAACCATGCTGTAAATTCCAGATCAACTGTAAAACTTTTACATCTTCCATTCAGAGACACTGGTTTGTGTAAACCACCTTTTATGTAAAGCAGTCAATACCATCATGATCAATGATACCATGGAATATCATGTCCCCTGAGAGTGTGGAAATCCCCAGGTTTACTACACTTCATTCTCTTCTTGAAAGTTTCTAATATTGTAACAATTTTTCCTCTCTGTCTCAGCTTCAAAGAGCAACCCCAGCCCCAGTCGGACTACAATGTGTTAGCCCACAAGAGGAAACAAGTGAAAGAACGTGTGCTTTGCTAAACTTAAAATATATGACACATAAGTGTCAGTCACTTGTATGGATGTAAAACTGAATGTACTCGGTGTTGTTGCTGTCAGTGTTGCCACACCAGGATGAGCATATGGCCAATTCTTTATGAAACTGGCTTGAAATACTTAGTGAGACTAAGCTTGGGAGTTAAATCTTAATAATACCTTAACTATTAACAATACTTTATCTGATCAGCTGTAGATTTTCAAATCATCATCATTGAATTCATACTGACCCTGTTCTTCCTTCTGGAGGGTGGCTCCTTTTGTTCTCCTTGGGCCCTGTGTGTGTTGTAAAGTAGCCGGTGTTCCAAGCTCGCTCCAGGGGTGGACTACAATCTCAATACAAATGAGTAAACTAAACATGAGATTGTAGTCCATCACAGGAGTGAGCTTGGAGTGGTGACTGCTTTACAACACACACATGGACCATGGGGAACAAAAAGAGCCTCCCTCCAGAAGATAGGACAGTGTCAGCACCAGTTCAGAGATGATTTGAGAATCTGCAGCTGAGTAATACACAAATACGATACATTTTTGCTAATAGTTAAGATACCGGAATGTATTTTTAAGATTTAACTCCTGGGTTTAAAGGAGAACTATGGGGGTCAGTGTTTTTCCCCATAGTTCTCCTAAGGGTCACGGGAGGACATAAACTAGTGTCCTCCCGTGGCCCAAAGCATAGTATATCGCAAGCTACAGCTCGCGGTGTACTGAGAGCGCCGCAGCCGGGACGGATCCCAACAATACTGTCGAGATCCACCCAGCTGCGTGATTGACAGCTGGCTCTGCCTATCTAGAGGCAGAGCAGCTGTACTCGCCCCCTCCCCCGTCCGTTCCGCCAGTCAGCGCTAGAGGATCGGAGTATGGAGGTGGGGGAATCCCTGCAGGGAGCTGTGAGTGACGGTCACGGCTCTCTCCAGGGAGATGATCGGAAAGTGAGCAAGCGACGGTATGTGTTCGCTCACTTCCCGATCTATTGAGCCGACGTGTGACAGTTTCATTGTCGCACGTCAGCTCAAAGTATGAGGTTGAGTGAAAATCACTCACATCATAGTTCTCCTTTTAATGTAATTTTATTATCGTCTGAATAGTTCATCCAGTTTTTCTGGGACAAAGTGTTTTTTTTTTAATGACAGATCCTTTTACAATAGACAGTACCACGTTTTCGCTTCTGACAGTTTTTTAATATGGCCAGAGTTGATTTATTATTGATGACTTGCATAGTCACAATAAATATTGATAGCATCTGCTTGGTTTGCGTATATTTTTTAAAGGGATTGCTTTATGGGTATTATTAAGTTCCATCTTACCCCCATAAAAAAAAATGATGCAGTGCCAAGTCAGGTCATGCCATGAATAACCAGTAATTAGAATTAGGACAATGGTACTTGCGCACCTCCCACTGCTGGCCAACAGCATACATAGAAGGCACTTGTGCTGCAAGACTTACTTCGGTTTTAGCTTACATTTTGGAACTCAGGCTAAAGACAATTATCAGGTAACTGCATTTTTATCTGAAAATGTTTCAGGAGTTTAGAAATCCTGCATAACTGAACCAGATGGCATTTTTAATATATTTGCCATGAGAAGGTTTTCAAGACGTCAGCTCTCGTAGATGTTTCCCCTTTTATGGTCAAGATCAATTTTCACATTCCACCTATAGGCCCATGAATTCAGATATAACATTTTTCATTAGCTTTGGAAAAAAAGTATCATAAAGGGGTTAAACCAGATTACACCAAACCTAAAGTTATGCGATGTGTGCAGATTTGGTTTCAAGTAGAACTCCAGTTTTCTGCGCTATAACTATGTAATAACGTATAAGTGACGCTCATTCCTGAAGTACTGTGAGCCCAGCCTGCATGAGGATGCAACTTCAGGGAGTGTGTCAATGACGTGCTGGGCTTACAGTAGATAGGCAGAATGGCACCAACTATCATTCAACCTGAGGAGGACCCACGGCGCTGGATGAAGGAGCAACTAAGGAACAGTGCTGGAGCAGGTATGTACGGTTTGGCAATTTCTTTTTATATAGGGGAGTGGGCAGTATAAAGCTACAAAATATGATATCATTGCATTGCTATTATGGATTAAAACACAAGTAATTCCCTATCTTTTATAAACTACTTCAGGTGACTTATTACAGATCTAATATGCATCTCTAGCTGGAAAGTGTATACCATGTTTGTAAAAACTGTACATTTCTTGGCTTCTGGATGAATTGGTGTCCACACATAAGGTTTCAAGGGCATCCACAAAATGACTTAACACGTTTTGTGTTATGTAACCACTTCATCAGAAGCTTCTGACAAAGTGGTTACATAAAATGATATATGTGAAGCTATTCTGTGGGTGCCCTCAATATTTAATTTTAGCATTATATGGGTATAGCCTTCCCGGAATATGTCTAGTATTGGTAAACTAGTTAAAGGCTCCTTGATGAGCTATATAAGATGTTTTTTTTTTCATATTGTTGTATTTAATAATTCATACATGTTTTACTCAAGCAGTGGGGCTGATTGCTTTTTTGAGGGGATTGCCATGGTCTTCTATCTAGCTTCTATCTAGTCTTCTATCTGTTCTAGCTTGGGTTAGGTCTATGAATTCCTATTGATGCAATTTTTAGGCATACATTTTAATCCATGCAATCCCTACACTGCTTGATGTAATACTTATATTGCCATTCTCAGGGCACACACAAGGCTTTTGTTGTATTGTCTTCTGAGAACTCATTAACGGAATAATTCTGTATTTATTTATAAGTAAAAAGAAGTGAAAACCTAGCAAAAATGTACATTCTGCCGTTTAGACCTTTTATCACAATACTTACATTTTGGTCATTGTACAAAGCAAGGTAAAATGATTTAAAATAAAGGTGTTTTTTCCGCTCTGACATACAGGACACCATGTAGTGTCTGTATACTGTATCTGTAGCCGGTTTCCCTGACACACACCCTACCCGACCTTGCCACATTGGTTGACATTGGCTCCCAGCAAGGAGTCTCGTGAACATACTTATCCACAGTGCGTCACATAACTCTGCCCTGCCCACTTGCAATGCAACATGCCCCCTGCTTTGGAGAAGAGGAACATGAGGGAGGCTGTGTGGTCACGTGTTCATGAATAACAGATTTGTACTTTTTTTTTAGACAGGTCTATGCAGTTTTAATTTTTTTTAAAATCACTGTTGGCTAGATTACTATTAACCTTAATACTGCTGAGATAACAAATACTTTAAAGTATATGTAAGCCCTAACTGGATTGTATTTAGTTTAGCCATGAACATTGTATTATAAACTATTATTTCGTTTTTCTGTACAGTGCTGTTTCCTCCCATTCTTTTTTTTGCATCTGTGTCATCTGTCTGTGTGTGATCTCCTCTGGCCTCTTTCAGACACTTTCTATTCTTGCTCCTACATCAGCTGCACATCATTGCTCTGGGCCAGTATACTTACAGTGGATCGTTTTTGTGCAATGTGTGTTATCACTTCTTTTTGTAGTCTCCAGCAACACAGGAGCACAATCAGGAGACCGCTTATGTGAGATTTTAGCGATTAGGTTTAGATCTACTTTAATTCAATATTGCAATACACTGTTTAGTTCTAAAATTCACCTGTACATATTGCTGAAATCAGTGCTGGTGTTATGTAGTTTGCAGACATTTTTCAGGTACCATTTTTGGATCTTCTGTACTGATATATGGAGATCTCTTTAAGAACGGCATGGCAGCTGACAACTACTTGGAAGAACAATACGTTTGTTATGAATTACTTAACCTCCTGTGTCTAGGATGTTTCACATGATTTCTCAGATGTTAACTAGAGCAGTCTTAGCTTTCAGTCTAGATTGCCTCAGAGTGTTAAAAATAAAACAGTGTTTAGCATGTGTTCTAAATAAATAGACATGTAATCTTGCAAAAGGCTGATCAGATGTCTCCTTACTATTGCAGGTTGCACAACTGATGGAGATGGGATTCTCCAGAGCTGATGTCTTAACTGCACTAAGGGCTTCAAACAATGATGTCAACTCGGCTACCAACTTTTTATTACAGCGGTGATATTCAGGGAAATTTGCAATATTATTTTCTGCTCATGTTCTATCCAAAGATCCTTTTTTATATGTATTACACTTGAACAAAGTGTTTGCTGTATTTTTACACACTCTGCAAGCCTACTACATGGCATTGTGTAAAGCAGGACAAATCCTTAATTGTACTGAAATACTGAGGTTTTAACAAGATTTTTTTTAATGTAAGTAATGTGGCTGATTTACTTTGCAAGGGAATTTTAACCCACCTTAGTAGATGTGGAGAAAATTGCTTGGGCAAGGAAAATGAAAAGAATATATATATTTTGTTTTTGCTTGCACATAATTGAATGATTAAGATCAGTACAGCTTATTCACTAGGCTAGCTAAAAACTCCCTTAAAAACGTAAACATGCTTTACTCCTAACCAGCTACAATGTGGTAAGGTTTGCAAAAAGAATGTTTTTTTCTGGATGATTTATTTAGTGTACATGTTCACGTCTTAGGAAATTATGTATATGTTTTGTGTACCAAAAGAGGCCAAACTCTTTGCAAAATGAATGAAAAGCTAAGAAACACCACCGCTCTTTGATTAGACTATGATGTTACTGCACTGCATGGATAAACTGAATGTGCGTTGGCAGATGTCATAGTATAATAAATGCCCTATGACCTCTGTTTCCTAAAAATTTAAACATGATCATAACAAGAAAAGTTTCAGAGATATTTAATTAATCTAATTCTTTGTTTATCTTAAGGTACGAGTAGATATCAGACTGCAGCCTATACAAAACATCACTGCCAAAACATTTTTCCAACCAGTATTCTCTTGTAGTATATCTAAAGCCACAACCATTTTTTAGTTTGAATATAATAGGAAAATGGTTAAAACCCTTGTCAAGTTAAATTTTGTTGCCTTCCGTGTCCCATTGGAGAGATCTTTCTTCACTTCCTGTCTCATAGACACAAAAGGAAGCAAAGGGAATATATTTCCAAGTAAGGGAAATCCCCTTTTAGACTGTTGGTGCTGGAACATCTTTTTCTGTTCTGGTGACTATTCAAAATTTAGAAACCGCTTCACTTTTGATCCCCATGACCAAAACAAACAGAGGGTAAGTATACCGCAGGCAGCAATAAAAGCCTGGCAGGTTTTAGATACACTTTAACTGGTCCTCACAGGCATAAAAAAAATGAATTCAACTTAAAGCGCCCTGCAAAAGAATTGCTTTTATACTCTCCTTTCCAGCCTCCATAAGATACTTTGACATTCAACGCTTACGGGAGTTCCCAGCCATGTACTATGATTCCATCCTTCTACTTCTATGTCACTGCTCAGTTCTGTAGTGATTGGATTGAAGGAGCAGTCGAAGGATGAAACCACAGTGCAAAGTTGAGAACACGGGCATCCTGCATTCCTGGAAATGTCAAAGAATCTTGCATAGGTTGCAGTGCTGGAATGGATAACGGTAAGAGAGACGCAGGCTGCCAGAGACCTGAGTGTAAAAGCTTTTTTATTGCCTGGATTTTTCAGCTGAATTTTTTTTTTTTATTAGGTATCTGCTTATTTTGTCTTTTCACTTTCACTGGACACCAAAGGGACTTCACCTGGAAATGGTCAACCTTGACTATAGTCGTTTCGCACTGTTCATGTAGACTGATGGATGTGCATGTAAAATGCACTTGAAAACACAGATTAGCAAATTCCCATTTACTTGATTTTTGTAGTATGAATGAGTGTTCTCAGGCTTTGTTTAACCTGCTTTGCATTGTGTTTCTGTGGACACAACAGGACCTATTGAGATGCATTTGCATTGCACGCAAAGCAAGTCAGACACAGCCTTTTGCTGCATTTTGTAATGAATGCATGTATTGAAGTGGCACTGTGTTCAAATGCAAAATGAAGCAGTACCCCAGCCCAGCAACAGTAGAGCTCCCTAGAGATCCTTCTGCCATTGTTAGCCCCTTATTACTTGTCCCATGCAACCTGTCAAAACCTAAGGTATTCGAAAACAGAAGCCAGTGTCTGTCCTTTTTATGTCTTTTATAATCCCTTTCTAGAGAAAGGCAAATATAAAACTAAACTACTGCAAAATATTAATAGATACAGAACATTCTGTAGAAGTGACCTCATAGACAAGATACTACAAAAATATATCAGTGCAGACTCTGGACAGGTTCAGTGTAAACAAAGGAATGTTTACATTGGCCAGGAATGTCAAGACTGCTTTCAAAGCACAGACAAAAGAAAAGTCAGAGGTAAGAGATTATATTTTCAAAATTGCTTGGTGTTCTTGGATCGATTAAAAGACCTAATTTGTTTTAGAAATAAAGTTATTTAAGAGACCAGTGATCTTTACAACGCCTCTCTACACCTATTTTTTTGCCACAAACACAAAAAAATGGAATAGAGAAGAGGTGGGTGCATGTACATGTTACCACACTGATTATTATGTATTGAAGTGTTAAGTAATAGCTGCTTCTATGGAAATGTGTTTCTTTGATGTATACTGTTTGCTACTACTTAGGAAACATGGCGCCCTTATTTCCCCATTTGTTTTACAATAAACATCTCTACTATTGCTCTTCTTTTATACTGGAAGGTTTTACCTCCTAAAAGCTGTTGTAAGCAGCCAGCAACACCGCTGCTAACTAACATGAACTAACAAAGCTGCATTCCACCTCTCTGCATAAAAATTGGGCTGTTCGGATATAAGTGTGTGAATAAAGGTCCTAGTCATGTAGGTTTTTTTTTATGTTGGGAAAGGTATCTATGTCTGTATTTCATACAATCATACAGGAGTCCTTCAAAAAAGATCACTCATATTTCCACAGTGTTATATATTCAGATCCACTGCTGAAAAGTTGGGAAATGGTTTACTTCTGTACTTGTACCGTACTGCAAAGCAATACGTTTAAGCTTGTCCAGTGTAAATGTAAACTGGCATAGTATCTTTCTCCTCATAGTAGAAAATGGGCAATACGCCTGTATCCACACCACAAGGCAATGCAGGGGAAAGGAAGGGGGGGTGGTATTCCTATACCTATGCAACCAACCCACACCTTGCATTTGCATACGGACTTCAGGAGGGCTCTGGAGATTCTCACTCTTCAAAGGAAATGCAAAGTAGATATGCCCATATTTTCTTTATTTTTATATTATTATTAGTATTTATTCTTGCATCTAGCCAGCAGGTAAAACGTTATTCTCCTTGTCACATTTCTAGTTTATCCTTGCTGGCTGCTGATAAAAGCCTGTTGTTTACGAAGTACAGTAGCTCAAGTGGAATTTGCACACACATACACTAGGAAAAGTCAGAGCAATGGATTATCTTTCTGATTTCTCTTTCCTTCAGTCACCCAGTATGATTTTTTTTCCCCATCAGAGACTGTGGGGTTGATTTAATAAAGGCAAATAGACTGTTCACTTTGCAAGGGAATTTTTCCTTGGCTTAGTGAACGAATTAAGGCTCTTCTGACCTCCATCATCCAATAATGTGCAAGCAAATATACAGCTTTTTATGTTGTTTGCATGTGATTGTTATTCTTTGCAAAGTGAATTTTCCCCAGATTCACTAGGAACACAAAAGAAATTCCCCTGCAAAGTAAGCAATCTATTCGCTTTCAGTAAAGCAATCCCTGTGTGTAACAGGAAAAAGTGCTCTGTTCTGTGATAATCCATCTCACAAGAGGTTTTTTTTTTTTTTTTACCACTTCCCCCTCACTGTGCTGTTCTGTTCCTGTTTTGTTTTTGTCTTTTATCTGCTACTTAGTACTGTACTTAGTACTTTTTTATCATCTCACTGTCACTACTGTCCTCAAAGGACAGTATCTGCTACTTAGTACTGTACTTAGTACTTTTTTATCATCTCACTGTCACTACTGTCCTCAAAGGAAACTGGAGTTTTCAGTGTAAGGGGAAGGCATTACAGGAGTGTGTAGTGGCAGGGGTGCTGGATAATGAGGAGGGGGGAGGTGCTAGGTGGCAGATAGGTACAATGACAAGGCAGCAGTACAGTTAGGCTTTGTGCCCCCTTCAAACATATGCATTGCATTCATGTCTTTTAACACATTATTTCAATACGCGGTAACACACGGAACAAAATGGCACCTCAAGTACAGGTGGCAATGGATCTGCACTGCAGGATAGCACCTTGCACAGGCACAGGCCTGTTTTCTGCTACCATGCATGAGCAGCCCATTCTAAATATACCGCACTTTACCATGTAATGCACCACAAGAGAAACTTATAGTGTCAAGGGGGCCTTAATATTCATGCACTGCCGGCCATGTAATGTGTGGACTATAAAGATTTAGGAGGGGGCTTCCTAAAATGACAGATAGTACATGGCAATATGTGCTTTACATACAGTATGTTTAACCACTTCAGGACCATAGGATGAACCTGTATATCCAGGTCTTGAAGTGGTTATACAGGGTCATGGCTGCAGCAGCAGGCAGAAGGCTTTCAGTGCAAGTGATCTGGGCATCTCCATAATGAGAACCTGCCATCTCCCAATGTTATCACAGAGGGACTTGTTAAAAAAAATGTAAAAAAATTAATTGTAAAATAAATGAGAAATTTAAAGCAATCCTGTTTTCCCTGACATCTGCATGCAAATGCATGTGTAGGGCATGCACATGTATACATACAGCAATTGCACCACATATGTTGGGTATCTTTGTAAACGTGAGAGTGAGTTATACATACACTGGCCATAACTAGGGGTGCACTAATACCGTTTTTTCGGTAACGAGGACAAGTACCGATATTTATCTTTCGGTACTTCCGCTAGCATGGAGCCGTCATTACCCACCTGATTGGCTGGGAAGTCGGCTCCATGATACCTCGCGGCACTGCTGGTAAGACGAAATCTCCCTCTGACTGGAAGTTCTGGTATAGGCGGTAAGTATTGGAGCATTTGTGCAAGTATGAGTACTCGCCCAAATACTCGGTATTGACACCGATACTAGTATTGGTATTGCTGCAGCCCTAGTCATAACGCTGTATAGTGTGCAGCAGGACATTTCTATTTAACCTTGTCCTGTAACAGTTTGGTAAACCTAACAGACAGTGTCCTACTTTTCTGTGTTCTGAATATTGACTCGCCCATTTAAAGTGCTTTCAATACAACAATGAATGCACCTATTCAC